AGAAATTTTGATCTTGATGATTTTGGAGTCGTTTCAAGTACTGATCATATTTGTTTCAGATGTCAAAATGTGAGTTTTTTCGCCCTGAATACTTGAAAGAGCGAGAGTTTCAAGCCAAATACGCAAAGCAAAAGGCCCTAGCCACCACGCGAATTAAAGGCCGGTCCGGAATGTGTTAAGCTAATTTGCTCGATGACTCATTATCACCACAACAACAACGAAATACAAATGACTAGAATTTAGTTTAAGACATTGGTTTAGACTACTTAGTCGGCTGAGTCAGGAACAGACGTCATTGATGCACTATCTTCCCCTTTTGGTCAGAAAAGGAGGGAAGAGCTGAGGAGCACATGACGTAGTGTCGTGGCTCCGCACACTAGGCAATACAGAAGTTTTTTTTCAAAGACAGTTCGCACGATAAATTGGGTACGTGACAAGACCATCGTATTAGGCCGCGACGCCGCCCACAGCAGACGAGTTGTCCTGCCTGAGCGTTTAAAAACTAGTGTCAAAAGGAAGGAAATCGTGGCATCGTCAGTCACGGAGTCTTGTCTTTACTTGTATTCATGTGAGTTTTGCTGCTCTAGACGACAAACCGATGCTTTCAGGAGTTGCCGCACGTATTCACACGATACGCCGAGCGCCGCGACGCGGCAAATTACGATTGTCTTGTCCGTCTCTACGATGAATTAGCTGGGCGTAGTAGCTAAATATACCAAGTAGAAAGGGGGAACCAAGGCGCCCAAGTGGGCGATCGATAGTGATTCGCAGCCAAAAGTCGCGCTTAAATTAACTTAGAAACGTTTGCGATACATCTGTGCCTGTCTGTACTCCAGCTTTTATGACTAATGGAGCAGGGGGATCCGATGGAATGGTTTTTTTCTTGAATCGCCCAGCCGATTCTCAGACCTACAGATTACCGAGGAAACATACCCGACAAATCAATGACCGCAATCCATCCTCGACATCCTCGTTCTTTGAAACATAAACCTCGAATGAAGTGTCCTCTTTGGAGCCAGTCGGTGCTTCCGTAGGCCTTTCCTCCTTACTAGGAATCACAGCGACTTTGGAGCTGCCTTCACTTGCTTCAATTTGATCTTAAAATGAAAAGATCAACAGAATCAGGTTAGGTTAGAAAAAGTGCTGCGAAATATAAGGCCTCACCAAGATTAGCTTGAGAATTCAGTTCCGAACGTATAGTTCTGACATTGCTACCGGCTTCCACACCCACATGATTTGTGGTTATATGCAAACGAACCCTCCACTAGAAAATCATGAGGTAATATTGATCTGAGTAGAACTTGACTGTAATACAATGAATTGCAATTAGATGCTTCGAGACAAAAAAAATCGGGAGGCCAGCCCATATGCCCGTTAGGAAATAAAGCTAACGAGAAGTCATTGTTCATTTAACTCTCGTTACGCCTCAATTAGAACCTTGCTTAGAGTGAGACTAAATCAGAATCGCGAGTATCATTGCTTCCTTATGTGTCACTGTCACTTTGCACAGTTTTGGCTTGGTTTTTTGAGAAACGATGGCTGGGGCAGATGAGAATGAGAACTTCCACAAACAGTGAAGAGATCCCAAAGAGAGCTAGACGAACTGGAGGCGGGTATGATTCATTTTGCACGATTATGTATGCGCCATGTCCAGGATCACATTGGGGGGGGGGACAGGCCCTATACCCCTATAGCGGGAGAAGCAGGCATTTTCGGGTCCATTGAATGTTATACTCGTGTTCAGGCAGTCAGGCCACCTGTGTGGGTCCTTGTCAGCCAGTTTTGGAATTTGACGCATTTGCCGTCGGCACCAGGCACTTTTAAGGCAAATGGATGAGATTCTGGTAGAATCCACCCTATCCATCTATCTAGTCTAATTTTGCTCGGGATATTATTCAGTTTTAACCTATCGCAATCTTTGAATCATACCAGCTAAAAAACCAACCTGATCAACTCCATGGAACCCACAAATCCCACAGACGAATGCGACACTTCCCGTAGTTGGTGGCAATACCAAGTCGCTTTCCGCAACTACAGGCTGAAATTGTAGGATTGAGAACATAAACAGTGATGCAGGAGAAACTTCAATATTCCCTATTAGACAAAGGAAACAAATGCTGAAAAATGGGTTTACGGATTAAATACGAATTCTTTGCACGGCACTCCACTATCTTTGTCGCTTCCTTCAAAGAGACGTTTCTATGCGACAACTGGGAGCTCTAGCTTGCCCGCAGACACTCTTAACACCATCCAGTCTAACCCTTTTCGACGAAGAGAAAAAAAAATAAAGACATGGCGAGGGTACAGAGAAGCTCCAACGAAACCCGCTTTGTCCCGTTCCACTAGAACCTACTGGCGCATCTTCACCGTTTGATTCACTTTTTACCCGCAGAGATAGTTACAACGTGTGAATATCCCAGTAAGCAGAAGACTGGATTTTTTAGGCGTTAACTGCTCTTAGATTGAGCGACCCTAGTTTTAGGAATGCTGTAGCATCTTGGCATGACCAAGCAATGCCGAAACAGTTCGGCTTGGAGGAGGGGGGGGGAAGCACTAAATGGTACTCAGCTAAGCTTGTACAAGTGTCAGGACCTGTAAATTCCTGAGGCCACAGTGATTCGAACAAATTCACAGCTTCACAGAAGTTTACTGGTCTGATCAAAGTGAGACCTGTTAACATTGACCAACAAAAGGAACTAACAAAAGTGCAAAACGCCCCCTCCAAGCCGAACAGCGCCAAAATGCCTCTTGCCAGTAGACCATTCTACTCACTACACGTTCTATAATTCAACACATTTTCAAAGACCATACGTAATGCACACTCACAGTTATAAAAACGAAATGATGAGATGAAAAGAAATAAAACCCACCTGACTCTCACCGCTGTTGGGCGTGTAGTGTGGGAAGCACTTCTGAACCAAGAACTCCCACACTTTTTTCATTCGCCAACTATTGTCTATGGCCTCCGATAAACCGTCGGCATGTATGTTAAGCATATGGGTGCGTATCTGAAGTTACAAAAAGATACGAAAAAGTTAGTTAGGAGGAAAAGCAGGGGCACAACATAACAAAAAACCGATATAACAATAAAAAGCTGAATCTGAAAATTAATTTGTGATCCACACAAACCTTTGCATGCTCATTGTGTTGAAGGTCGCAGTAAACACATTTGAACTTTTTGATAACCGAATGCCGGCGAGCATGATTCGTAAGATTGGAAAACCTGAAAAGTATGGATTCGCTACTAGATCATCTAAAGCCGAAACCGGCACTGTTTGGCTTGGAGGGGGCATTTTGCACTTTCGCTAGATCGTTTTGCAAATTCATGTTAACAGGCATGTTTCCCGTTGCTCAAAACCAGTAAAAGTTCCACACTGTGGCCTGTACAGGCTTAGCAAAAAATCGTCTTGTGCCCCCACCAAGCTGAACTGCGCCGCAAAGACCTTGCTGATGTTACAATACCATCCATTTCTCTTATAGCTCTCACCTCGACGCCATAATCACTTTCTTGCAGAGTTGACAAACCACATAAGGAGTTTGGTAGTCATTTCTCCCTCTAGCTGCATCTGCAAAAATAGACAAACATTTCAGATGAATGACAACAGACAACTATAGAACCGTACCTCCATCGGCTGTCTCCGAATCCGTACCCTCTCCGCTGCTCTCGTGATTTTCTGACCGGTTGTTGAGCTGTCCAGCATCTGAAAAGGCTAAATAATCGTATCACTCCGTACCAATAACAGTACAGACTAAAAAAACAATCAGACCACAGAGACAGAAGATCAAAAGGGAAAGACCCCTTTCTCCAATCCGTTCAGTTTCGAATATAAAACTAAACGAACTATGGAAACGTTTTGAAATTCCAAAGAGATTGGAAACTATTTCAAACGGGAACAGAAAATACTGCAGTTTTTATAACATTCAAAATGTTACAAATTCATAACCCATGTGATGAACTTTTGGCTTTCTCTCTGTAATAAAGCCGAAATATCGTCAAAGCACACTGAAGAGGAACTGAGAAGTTGACAAAAACAGGAGTGGTTTGACTGAATGTGGAAGAATGGTTTGAAGTAGGTCTGGCTGAGCTCGCGCTCAGATTTGATGTGTATGCGGCTCAGATAGTAATAACAAGGTAAAAAGTAACCCATTATGACGAAAAATCAAAAAGAAACCAAGCAAAATGCCCTATAAGGAGTTTCATGCCGAATTGCGGTTGTACGTGCTTAAGGCGAAGAGAAGGAGCGGTTGCACGAGTTCTCACTTGTTGGTATCAGCTGTTTTCCCTTATCACCTGGTTCACCATTCGAGTGGAGAGAGTTAGCAGCAGAACAACCGCACCATTCGGCAACCATTAGAAATGAAGATGGGCGTAGTGGTAGCTAGGTGGGCGACTCATCGAACGGCGCTATCCACTCGCCTTTTTGAGATGCAAAACTAGTGCATCCTACATCCTTGTAGGGAGGGCTATGATATCTAGAGAGGGCGTGGAACATCAAATGAACGCGGGCGCTGTCTTTGTGCTTGAGTTTCGCCTACAACTGGAAGCCTTCAATAATCTGAAACGGATATCCACTTGACAGCCTACAAAGGAGAAAACATCAAGAAAGGAATAGGAAACGTAAATAACTAACTAGTCAAAGTTACTCACTCATAAATGAACTCGGATGATTTTCAAACAAAGGTGAAGGTTTTCGATCAACATGTTTTCCGTCATCACCGCCAACGTCGCCACTGCCTCCTCCCAACAAGTCTGCAGCAGAGAGTTCTGCGAAGTATGGGATATCGGGTGTAGCTTCTGAAAATGGAAAACAAATTTTTTCATCGCAATACACTTAGAATTTAACCGGTCGATTGAGAACTGGTGAAAAACAAAACGATTTTATGGTGCGAAACTTCTAGGGTACAAAACTCGAGTTAACATCTCGAGCAATCACAATCGCACAGGTGATTATTAAAAGGCCTAAGAGACTTGCGAAGCACTATTCTGCCTCCTCCAATACCTTCGCACAAGGTTCTAAAGTTTCCTCAATGAGGTTCTCGAGAGGTTCTTTTCTCTTTTCCCTCCAGTAGATGTCTTTATGTGGTCACGGAGCAGATCAAAACTCACACTCTCTAGAGGTTTCCAACCCTATTATGAGCGGGGAGTATAAATGCGGCACCTACTGCCACTGGGAAGAAAATTTTGCGAAACACGATCTCTCTCTACAACCTCAAAAGTTCTCCCTCTGGTACGACGGCTCTTTTTCACCGTCCCTATCACCAATCTGAACTTCTCAACTTCTTGCCTCCCTTCTGGAGCATTGTATGATAAAAATTCCTTTTACTTCGCCCAGAAAACTATCGCTTCGGAAAACTTTGGCCGCCAAATAAACTTCGGCCGGAAGCAGACGAGGGTGGATGGCATGGTCATGGCACATGTAAAACCGGAAAGTCCGAGAGGGCAAGAGACTAAAAATCTCTCTTCAAAAGCAACTACGGCCCTCCCCTACAGGCTGGAATCTTCAACAAAGAATTTGCCTTGACTATAACCACAGACAATATCTGGTACACAGCATTCCGTATAACGTTACAAAAATGTTTAATCAGAAACGTGAATCGGGAGAAACCAGAAAAATTCAGGAGATTCTTATGATTACGAGATACAACATACCACTCGAAGAAGGGGCTCGTGAGATATCCGAGTCACATTCCAGGCTTATAACTGGCTTTGGTTCTTTCTTGCCTGGCGCCTCCTGAATTATAGAAAGTCAAAAAGTAAAGAAAAAAATATGCTATGCAATATGGCATCCCAGAAATTTTTAGAAACTCCACTTTTTTCTCCACATCTGGTTCACTATGAGGCTTCGAGAAGCTTCATATTCAGGCAAAAATAAATGTTTTGTAGACTAATTTAAGTTCAAGGGAAAAGCTCAATACGGCATTTTTTTGACTGTTGATTTTGAATTCGCTTCTTCACAAAGTCAGCTGATGGATCCACCTTTTCCGGACCTATACCAACTAAATGAATCAGATCAAAGTCGGAATCATGAGAATGACCCACCTCAAAATCAGGATGATCACTCAAGTTATCGAGTAGGAGAAAATCACTAAATCCATTGTCAATCTGGAAATGTTTTTTCTTGGTAACATTTTTGTATTTACAATATATGTTTCTGAAATAAAATGGATAAAACATACCAGAAGATCGTAAAGATCGTCACTGGACTGGTCTTTGATTGCGACAACAGCATATCGGTACCTTAACTAGTATCTTCACCGAATTGGCAAAAAAATTCATTTCATCAGCGGACGTGCAATAGCACATTATACAACAAGAAAACTACCAACACAGGTAAATACTAGTAATTTTGCAAAATACGACCCCTCCTTCTCTCAAAACTCCGTGAATTCTCCCACTGTTGTCTTCCTACCACTTTTCCCTGGTTTTAGGTTCAATGTACTCCACTTTTCTTTCCAAGAAACCGCCGTTGAGCGGGAGTGCGGGGGGGAGTTCGGCGCGTGAATAGGATTCGTGAATCTGAAAAAACGAGGAAATGCAGGCACCTAAAACACCCCTCAAAAGGCAGATAAGACCCTCCTCCCTGCAGTCACCAAGTGAAACTTCCCGACGGGAAACTCCAACATGCGACCTGCCCCCGGAACTGCACCGAAATGGCGTATTCGACCAATGTCAAATGTGGTATTGATTAGAAAATCACTACCAGAAGTATGAAATGATAAAAACTAAAAATAATAGCGAAACCACTGAACAGTTTCTTATTCCTTGTCTGTATACATTTGCCCCTTCGTAACCGGCAAACGTCCCAAATAGACAAGTAAATAAATAAGTAAGCAATCAAATAAATAACGCCGGTAAATGAATACATAAAAAGCGTTATAAAGATGCCAGCACGTCTATAAAAAGAAAAAAGAAAGACAGCAAGATGTAGTACCTTTTTCGTCCCTGAGTAGAGCCATACGCGGAACTCGTTGACGCTTCCGCTTTATCGCCAGACGGATCCAAGGCCCTATCGATGATAGGACTCCCACAGCCGTTGAAATTTTTGTTGGGCATTAAAACTGGCCGTCCACGATCGTAGACGGCTCCAGTTTCTCTGAATTTTGCCAGCAAATTGCCAACGGTAGTATGGGAAATGGGCTTTCGATCGGGGTGTAAACGACTGAATTCATCGGCAATTTCACGATGAGTTCGACCATTTCCAGAGAGTAGAATCACTTCAATACGTTCTTCGATGGTTAGAAACATGGAGTAGTGTGAATGTCACGAGCGTGCCAAATTGCACGCCAGCGCGACGGGGCGATGACGACCCGCGCCATTATCGATTGGATGGCTGCCAGGCGCAAGGGTGTGGGCGAATGCGCAGACATCAGACACTGCACGATGACGGCGCTCGAAACCGGTACTCATTCAGTTTATTCTGTGGGATGGTAACCTCTCCCAGTTGGGCAGTTTGAGGAAACTAGTGGAAATTCTGTTGGTAGGCTGTTCTACTGAATTCAAAGACTCAGACCTCTTCATTCCGCTAGGAAACAGGGCCAGCCTCATCATAAGACAGAATAAACCATAAATCCCATTGAATAGCACTGGGCATGGGCGCACGCCCCGCTCGGGACCAACCCGCCCACTTGGACGAGTGATTGGGTAGTGACTTATTGCTGGTGTGTATTGGAATGTCGTAGGAAGAAAAGAAATATGAGGCCCTGGGCAGTGTTCGGGCTTTTTCTTATGTGGTATGCGACGGATTGCAGCACGCTTCCCGATACTTCACCGTGTTGGATACGGCATAATTTAACGCGGAAAAGGGATGAAAACTGGTTTGACTGGGGACAAAAAAGGCAGATGTAGCATTTTCACACGTTTAAACTTTTGAACACGACAATTAAGTTGAGCATTAGGCCGTAATGAATAGAGGTCGTAATGACGATCGGCTAGAAAACAGAGCCAGCTTCATTATAGGACACAACAGGCCATAAGCTTCTTTGGGCAACTTTGGACCCATGCCCCATTTGAGAGCTATCTGCTGGAATGTCGTAGGAAGAAAAAATATAGGTCGCTCTGGTTAATGGTGGAGCTTTTTCTTAGGCAGCGTTCAGACTTCGCGACGGCAGCGCTTTGGTCGCGCGATCGATGCAGTTGAAAGCATGCGCATCGATCGTCAGATCGCGCGACCGAAGCGCTGCCGTCGCGAAGTCTGAACGCTGCCTTTTACTTGCCATGTGTCGGACTACACCCACTTGCTGACTCCTCACCACGTGAGATGTGACAATGTCCGCTTAACAAGCTCACAGTGCGCGAAGCGGTGCTAACATAGTTGGGGGGGGGGGGGGATCAGAATGACTACACAGATCTCCGTACCCCCTACTCTGACGAGGCTTAACTTAGGATGGCCCTCCATCTTCCTGTGAAGCCATATCGAGGCTGCTCTGATCGCCTGCACCCTTGTCCTAAACCTTAACGAGGAAGGAACACAGAAGCGCGGCCGAGTGGTTCCCCCCTGGGTTTTCCGAACTACGTCAGCGCCCAAAGAAAGCAGACCTAAATGAGTGTAAGTGTCGTGGTTTTTGAAGGTTTTGTGTTACAATGTAGCTGAGGTAGGTGAGGGGCGGGGTACGCGGCAGAGTGTTAAAATTTGTGCCTGCCTACAATTAGACTACGAAATCAACACTGGTCGTCCGCATGTGCCAAGAGGCAAGTGCCCTTTCAAAAAGCGGCCAGGAACATAGAAGCGACACCTCATGGCTGTTTCACGTATTTTTGCATCGGCTTTGTCTCCAGTTCATCATTAAGGTTCAGCCCCATAAGGGTGCGCCACGCAATGATAAGAATGTGCTTAACAGTCAGTTGGCGCAATGTTGCCAACTTCTCCTCGTTCAAAAACGCATCTGTCACATGGGCGGAGACTCGCAACTGACGTGCTTTCCTCATTGGTGCGCCCAACGCCTTCGTGTGAGCAGTAAAGAGTGCGATGCGTGAGTAACTGAAAGAATCGCTGTAATCATTCCCAAAGCAGAAATCTACTTATTATATAATCCAAAAAATACCCGTATCACTAAAACCATAACAAAGATAAATACATGAATCAGGACCCGCTTTTTTCAATCAGCGATGGTTATGCAGTTGTTCTTCCGCTTCGTCCGCTGCAACATCGTCTTTATTTTCAAACACTGGCTCATTTTCTGCTCGTGACAAATTGTACAGCGCTGCACAACAAACAACTATTCGTGCTATTCTTGCGGACCTAAAATCAGTTGCACCACATTACTACATGGATTACATGGAACCAAGAATATTGTCTATAATTGTACCTTATCGTTTCTTTCAATATAGGAAACTGCCTCTTCCAGTTTGCAATCGCTTCCTGTACGATCACATGTGCAATTCTCAGTGTAGTTGCCATAGCGAAGTCCTTTTCTTAAAATAGATCGGTTCGCTGACTGGCAGGTGGAATTGCATCAGGCACCAAAGCATTGGAAGGGGAGGGACAGAGGGGAGCGTTATTTTCAATAACTCGTTTTAACCTGTCGAACTGGAGCACCGAAACTTCATGTCGACACCCCGTCAATCAAGTAGACACGTGCATAGTGCTTTCGGTCTTAATTGCATTGTAAGGTCCATGCACTACTGGAATTGATCGTCCTTTGCAACGACTAGACGTCGCCAACGCGACGCCCACAGCGCAGCGAATTACGATGCCTCATTGTCACATACCCCCCCCCCCCCCCCCCCCGCCCCCCCCCCCACCCCCCCCCCCCCCCCCCCCCCCCCCCCGCCCCGGGAAGAGAAAGGAGCAAGGAGGGGCCAGGTGAAAATAGACGTGCAAACAGGTGACAGTAGCGCAGCCCTCTATGCCTGAGGAGCGTTCAATATTCTACGGCAGCTTCCAGGCAACGTCGCACTAACAGGCGTTCTGCAGCGTCTACCAAGCGACCGGCAGCGCCAGCAACTAGACAAGCATAGCAGATATCGATCTATTGCCATCTGCCAGTGTCGCACAGCGACAGGAGTAGAGTGTATGACGAAGTAGGACTGTAGCAAACAGCAGTATTTGGCGTCGTGAAATTGCGGCAAGTGCAACCGCACCGCATAACTACACTATATCGCACATCAAATTGCAGACTTTTGTACTTTAGCAATTGTACAGTGCGGCTACACGCGCCACAATTTCACGATGCCTGATCCAGCTGTTTGATACTCTCCTACTTCCCCATACTATTTACTCCCGGTCGCTGGTGGATGCTGGCAGACGCTGCTGGACGCCGCTTGGCCAAACATGCACGACAGTCCTTCCGAACTGACGCACCTCAGGCACTAATGAGCAGCAGAGAGGGTTAGTAGTTGAGACGTAAGAGTCGAGAGCCCCGCACTGCCCACTTTGGGTTGATCAGGGTCTTTAGTGCGCATGCGGCCTACGTCATTCGGCCGATTCGAACGGCAATCGGAGTGAGACTCTACACCCCCTTAAAACGACTGGAACAAGGAAAAAACCTGGGGCCTCACTCCCATGAAAGAGATGCTGCAAACTTTGAGGCAAAATACCGCGAACAAAAATGGTGGGTAGTGGGGCTTAAATATAAACGACAAGGTAGTCATCAGGTCGAGATGTACGCAGTTCCAGGAAAAATTTGGGGCGGTTTCGTCAACGCGAAAGGAAGAGCTTGCCTTTTTCAAATAGCAACTACTATACCTGACATCACGTCCTTTCCTTTGCTTGGTGTCAATAGAAATCTCTCTTTTTTATAGGCATCATCACCGATTAGAATTCCCTTTCTTCTGCCATCTCTCAACTGTCGGCAGAGTAAAAGTTAAAAAACCCCTCTGTTTGAAGACCTACAGAGATATTTCACAATAACAAGGTCATCAGTACTTCAAATCGAAATAAGCTCACTGAATTCGTCGCGCTCATCGCGCGAACTTCGGCGAATTACGCCACCGAAAATTGCTTTTTATCATCAGCCACAACTCCAACATTAATTCCTTGATCCCTTTTCTGAAAATCACAACTTGACGTATGTCTGCAACCACCTGCATGAGTTCTCCATTCTTATGTAGGCTGTAGGCTTAGTGGAAAGCCGTTATACAATGATTGCCGGCGCAGTTATCGACGGAGGGGGGGGGGCATTTGCTTTCCCATAAGATGTGCCGACCATCTAGGTAGTCGTTTCTTGCGTTGCACGTTTTTGGATACGTGGCTAGATACAGTCCTGCTCCAGCTTTACAAGCGTTCACAAGTTTTACCAGAGTGAGATTTGCATACCGGAACAAGGGAAGCAGTGATAGTACAAAAATGCCCCCCCCCGTCGATAAACAGCGCCATGATTGCCTACTGCCCTCACCTGGTTAACAAAAAAGATCCTTTCCCTATCTCTTAGCTCACGCCTACCGAGCACACCCGTATTTAATGGAGCTGGGTCTTCGTAGGCTGTCGGTCATGCCCGGCCCTCAAAGGGCGGAGCATTACTTTGAGGTGACCCTTCTCTGAGCTCTTATGAATGAGAAGCTTCTTCATATGGAGTACAAATTAACGAACGGCTTGTTTGGGCCCTGGGAGTTCATTTTGCCATTTCGCTTAATTCCGCTTTTGCCTAGTTCACGTTATGCTGAACAGGTTTTCACTTGTTAGTACGTGTGACGCGCGTCAAGCTGCGAAAATGGTAGCAAGTGAGCCCTCCCGCCCCCCCCCCTTCAAGCCGAACTGCGCCCAAGTCAGTTATCACCAACTAGTGTGCCGCATAAGTCTTACAAGATAAGGAAAAAACTGCAACTCACATTATTGTCCCATCAATACAACCCACAATACCTCTTAGGCCAGTCATGTCGAAGAACCTGGAAACGCTCTTTGACTATAATATCACATCAGCGATCATTTCGTAGCCACCTCGACGGAACGGTGCGCGACCGCACGCTTTCCATGGCTGTAGTTTGCGACTGAGGAAGATATGGCGATTTAGGAGACTAGACGACTTGAGAAGTGTGGCGACAAGTGAAGGCAAGGTATCGATCTGAGGGGGGGGCGGCTGCCCGAGATTAAGCGTCGCATCGACGAACACAGGCTGTTTCGCTATAAGGCGCGTCAAAGGAGTGGATGAGTATCGATCGGCGGTGGTCGCTAGCGAATGCGAAGATTCGGCGATCTCTCGAAACGCTGGATTGCCGAGTCTCTCGAATCGCCGGATCGTTCAATCTTCCGAATCGTTAGATTCCGTAATCATAAGCGACCGACGACCTATCCCATCCACTCGTTTGGTGCGCAATGGCCGGAAACACCAGTTGTCCCAAATCGCCGAATCTCCTCAGTCGCATAGCATGAACGCGATCTTATAGATGGATGTGAAATGTATGTATGGATATTTACGCATATCAAAAAATGATGTTGAAACTCACTTGTCACTGATCTTTCTACGTTCCCGATCGTCAGGCCACTGCACTATCGTTGTCGACCATTCAGCCAATGCTGCCAGAACGTTGTCAAAAATAAGACCAACTTTCGCTGGCGTAAAACCAACTGATGACTGCTTGACTCCAGCCAGAACCTCCAGAGTAGTTGCTACCTTGACTGCAGTTGAACAGGAGATTGAAGGAGTTAATCTCGTATCCATCGTTTCTAGCGTAGAGCAGAGCGTTGCAAATGTTTTACGTGTTATTCGGAAATAATTCCAAAAATCCTCGTCATTAAGCGTATCTACCAACGACGACTGATCTCGAACTTCTACCGCTAATGGATCTGTGATCATTTCCTTTTCGTCAGGGCTCCTGAAATACGACGCTTACTTTCTTCCGGATCTACATATTTTTTCACAGTTTCATATGGTAAACCTAATGACACATTTCGCGATTGCAAGTACTGGCTGGTGGGATTAAAATATGAGTTTGTTAGTGCGGGTTGATTTATCAGTAATGCAGAAAGTAGATGAATTGGTCAAAAGAACCCGTCCGGTTAGCTTTTAATATTGTGCGAGAATGCGAAGAATAGAGACGCAGAGACGTTTAGCCTAGGGAGGAAAGGACTACAACGACAGGAGATAGAGGACGTTTCAAAACAAATGTTAAGGATGTTACACCTACACACTACGGATGGAGCTAGAATGAAGAAAGCACGGCCAGAGATAAGCCACAGGCTCCCCCCCCCCACCCCTTGTATTCTTAGCACGCACCTTTGAGTGACAAATTGGTGAATTATGTACGGCTGTGGACCTGTTCATGGCACACGAGAAAGGGATTCCACCCACCAGCCAGGATCGCGGAATGTATCTCTAATCGTATTTATGAATTCTCTAAGACAGCATTCATACTGTTCGTCAGCGTAGTGAGCATTTCGAGCGAAATGGAAAGTATAGCCATCGATCTGGCGTTTCTGGGAGAAGTGCCAGCGTTTCGAATGTTCCGAGGGTCTTGGGTGGGAAGAAGTATAGGTAGTGACTTGGCATTTTTAGCCGCTTGCTTTGACTTTTCGTTCAAAACGCTCAAACGCTAGACCGACACCTATGCATTCCTTTCCGCCCAAAACCTAAGAAACACACAAAACGCCGACGAAAAGTATGGATGAAGCCTAGAACGGAGATAATCACAACTGGATCTTTTCAAAACAAGGCATAAATAATTTTAATAACGGGAAAGTACTTTTTCTGCTCTCCTTCTTGTTGCTGAGAGTCCGCTGCAGACGTGGGAATTGAATCTGAAAACTATTTCTGTAAAAAGCTCTCTACGAAAGAAGTAAAATGTTTAGATAAAAAATACAGAGAATTTCCGCACACCTTTACTGTCAGTGGAAGAGGTATTGATGACAACTACGGAATCAGCAGGAGAGGGCTCCTCTGAGACAGATGGTTCCAACAAGTCCATTGCAGTTATTTGGCCCGAGTCTTCGTTTATTTCCTGTTTTGGCTTCTTATGAGGAATTCCGTCTTCTAGCACAGCATCGAGAGCGGAGGACAAGGTGTCTGCAATACAGAGGATTCTCTTCATGAGAACAGTATAAACCTTATAGGTCCTTGTATGAAGCCTGAGGCTGTGTTTATAGTACCCACTCGATTGAATGCGACTGGTCTCGCTCCATCGCTTATCACTAGGCAGCTGCAATGCTCGAAAAAAGATCTTGAATTGATTGAATCCAGCACTTGCACCCTTGACGGCGGGCAGCGTTCAGGCAGCAATCGCGCTGCTTGCGACCCGTTCCAAAGGGCGGACTTGGACCTCGAAGAGCCGTATGCATGAACGCCGGCATGCTCAGCAGACCGTAAGCGAAGCACTGGCAAAGGATGATGGAAAACGAGGGAGAAAAAGCTAGAAAATCACGCGGGAGGAACAAGATGTTTCTTCTGTAACTGCAGGTCTTTTTCCTAGCAGTTCCCTCGATAAGAATTCTCCCACTGTAGTTTCTTTCTAAACAAAACCAATTTAGAAGCATTTTTGACAAAAGGTCGTAAGAGATATGTTCAATACCTTCTTTTCATCCTTCGCTGAATTCTTCTCCGAATTTCGGATTCTCATAAGATTCGATGAAATCTTTTCTTGCATAACCCTATTTCTAAAGAATGTCGTTGACTTCTTTTCTTGCGAACTCCAGCTTTTTTTATTGTAGTACTTTGCCAAACATTCACGTAAGAAACATGAAACATCATCAAAAGCCAACGTTGTGTCGTCCTGAAATAGTTCACAAGTAATCATGCGCCTGAAGGATAAAAACGAAACAAAGGAAAAAAAGAAAAATGAAGAAAACGATCAAGAGCAAAAGGGACGCAGCCAGATGAGGGTTCGAACACATAAGTAAAATTTTCTATGCTTAAAGATTAGCATGTGGAACACGGATCGCACCGCCAGTCTTACCAGACACCGCAAGTCAGTTATTGTTACCAACTTTTCTGCGGCGAGGCGATGCGGTCCATACACTCGTTACCAGGAGTAGTCGACTTCCTGGACGATATCGACCTCCACCGTGCCTGAGCTGTGCCTGGCGCCCGCGCCACAGGCAAGCCGGTACGAGATATTCTTGGTCACTCAAACCGCAGAATCTGTCCCGCTGGTAGTTTTGAGATACGAACATCGCCGCTAAGCGACAATTATAAGATTATACTGATTCAACTATTAGGGCTGCACTGTTTACTTACTGTTAACAGAAAAATAGATGCGTTTCCCCACGTGTGAAGGCTGTTTCAAATGGCCATGGTACGAAGGCCTTCTTCTTCGTAGAGATCTTGTCTTCTTATCTTGAAATTCTGCTCGATTGTTTTGTTTTTCTTTATTGTCCGCTGTGTTTCTTTTTTATCTTAGCGTTACTCGCATCTATTTTGCACCACATGAGTCACGCCTCATGTAATATCATAATAAATAGTAATAACCCGACAATCACACCTGTATAGGGTTTGGGACGGAGGAAAGGGGGTGCACATGACATGGGAGCAGTGCGTGCTATCCCAAAAGAGTGACCCTTTCGTCTCGCTTTCGTCTGCTGAAGCTGAGCCTGGCGTGAAGGGAACCACTTCTTCTTCCAAGCTTAGCCTTTCCGGAGGATTAAATGGCGCCAGCGCAAAAACCAAAGAGGTATTCGGGATCAGGATGTCAATATACTTCCGCACACAAGTATTTATCGGTGTTGGTGAGATGGTTGATTCCACCAAATCAGCGCCAATCCAAAAAGCAATGTCACATAGTAATCAAGTCTCCGAATTACCCTTTGTCAAGTGCCAGCAGAAATTTTTTTTGAGTTTTTGGGGTAGGAGTAGTTCAAAAAGCGAACATGTTTTTGAGCAAGGACTCTGCTTGTGCAGAAAGCGAGGGAAAACATACCCCGAGATGATTTGCATAAACCTGTATAAACGACAACAAGTCAGTCCCCACAATAGAAGGAACATCATTAAATCCATTTTCTGGGAATATACCACTCATCAGTTCCACTTCTTTCCCAATATAGTCGGCCTAAAAGATCGTGTTCCTTCTTCTAAACAACGTAACAACTGCAGCAGGAAGACAAGAAAGCAATGCACTCACCGCCTGAATATAATGGTCATGACAGATCGGTACAGACATACTATCGGTTACTTTTAACATTCTCTTAGCAGCTTCCACATCAATACAAGTTCTGAGCGCGTAGGCAGGCGAAAAGAACGATATTTTCTTGACGTTTGTCCGACGATAGTCTTACATCATCAGTCTGGGCTTTTACCCCGCAGACCACACAGAAGTTTTTCATTTGTTCCACAGATCTTTCGTTCTCTGTTGTAGGAATGACAATGACTTCCCCAGCATCATTCGATTGACTGTTACAGCTGTAATTGAAGTTTAATGGCATCGCTAAGAAATATGCCTCCACTGCTGAAAAATAAGCAGCCTTCAGGATATCCAAGGCAAACGCACACTCATTGCTTGCCTTGGACGTCAGTTTGCTGAATTACTCATCCATTTTGCAACGACCATCGTCTTATCCGCTGCCCCGATGAAAGGGCGTGAAGGTGGGACGGGTTTAGCGCGGCGTCCGTCCCCTTTTCCAGCAGTTGTTGAAGTGAGCAATGGAAAAGACTACCATATTTTCCGCATTAGT